CTTTATTTGTGTGCCACTTTTCTGTCAAAGCAGTTCATAGCCAACGCTTTATAAGAAACAATCTACCACTATCCATACTATTAACTTATTTAACACTTATCTATATGAAGGGCAGGGACGCGGGTGGCGCTGTGGGTTAAACCACAGAGCCTAGGACTTGCCGATCAGAAGGTCGGCGGTTCGAATCCCCACGACGGGGTGAGCTCCTGTTTCTTGGTCCCTGCCCCTGTCAACCTAGCAGTTCAAAAGCACGTCAAAGTGCAAGTAGATAAATAGGTACTGCTCTGGCAGGAAGGTAAACGGCATTTCCGTGCGCTGCTCTGGTTCGCCAGAAGCGGCTTAGTCATGCTGGCCACATGACCCAGAAGCTGTACGCTGGCTCCCTCGGCCAATAAAGCGAGATGAGTGCCGCAACCCCAGAGTCGGCCACGACTGGACCTAATGGTCAGGGGTCCCTTTACCTTTACCTTATGTGAAGGGCATCTCAGTGTGCTTAAGTTATTCACATTGTTTTGCTTTGCCCAGAGTTCACCTTCCTCACCCTTTTCTCATGACCTGGCATTGCCAGGGGCCTGGCAATCTCCCTTCTTGGCTCCAGACAGGCCCGTTTTACACTGCTGATTTAAGAGGGGCTGTTCTAAATTTAGAGTCACAACATTTGCAGGAAAAAAAGAAGAATAAATCTGCAAAGATACCAATATATTAAGATTCTTCAGCAGATTACTACCCCCCCACACCCCTTCTCTCTTATGAAAAGAACATGGCTCTCGCAAGCACCTTAACCAGAACACTTGGAAGATAATGAAAGCCCTGCCATTGGCTTTAATGAGGCTTGGATGAGGCCCAAGTGCTTACCAAGCACATCACAAAGCCTTGGCAGCGTGCCAGTCATGCTTTTGACTGTTCCTTTGAGTGCATCAACTTAATACATTTATTGTCTTTGTATTTAAAAGTGTCTTTTCCAGAGAACGCTCTAAGGGCACAGAATTAATCACGTCAATGACCGTACATGAATCATGGCTGCCATTTTGTTGCGGCTATTTTAAGGGTATCGCACTAAATGGCACAGTGTTGTCGGTGAGAGGGAAAGGACGAATGAGAGCGCCTCGACCGGAAACAGGGAACTATTATAACCCACTGCATCTAGGCAACAGCGAAACAAGGGCAACAACAACACTCTCCTAGCCCAGACCACGTTCGCATTATATGTTTAAAGTGTTATTATTATAAGACTTTTAATGTTCATGGCTTCCCCCCAAGAACTGTGGTTTGTTAAGAGTGCTATGTGTAGTTAAGAGACCCCCTGTTTACCTCACAGAGCTATAATTCTTGGAGTGGTTTAACTATCAATCCCTCTTCAAAGAGAAATCTCTGGGAACTGCAGCTCTGTGAGGGGAATTTAGGACCCCTGACCATTAGGTCCAGTCGTGGCCAACTCTGGGGTTGCGGCGCTCATCTCGCTTTATTGGCCGAAGGAGCCGGTGTTTGTCATCAGACAGCTTCCGGGTCATGTGGCCAGCATGACTAAGCCGCTTCTGGCAAACCAGAGCAGCACATGGAAACGCCGTTTACCTTCCCGCCGGAGTGGTACCTATTTATCTACTTGCACTTTGACGTGCTTTCGAACTGCTAGGTTGGCAGGAGCAGGGACCGAGCAACAGGAGCTCACCCCATTGCGGGGATACAAACCGCCGACCTTCTGATCGGCAAGTCCTAGGCTCTGTGGTTTAACACACAGCGCCACCCGCGTCCCTGTGAGGGGAATAGGACTCTGTTAACAACGCTTTACACACTGCATCCTCCAGGATTATTTGGAGGAAGCCATGATGGTTTAAAGTGGTATCCCAGTGCATTAAATGTATGTTGCAGGTGCAGACACAGTACTGAGTTTCCAACAGTAGCAACTGATGTGGTAGGGCAGGGCCATGGATTTGCCCTCCTGATGCTGCTAGTGTTGCAACTGTTTACCTGGCTGGGGAACAAGTGGGGCAGTGGTGAGGTCAGCTGCACTGTCCCTGACCTTGTCTGCCCCACCTAAGCCCCATCCAGGTTCTGCCCCACCCCACTGGCTGCTACTGGCCCCCCAATTTCAATGGCCTCTGAAATGTGCTAAGCTTTGGCACCTATCTTGCTCCTTCCTTCCTTCCTTGCTTTGTTTTCTAAGAGTCTAAGTCAAACTTGCAAGATCACATAGAAGAGGCCCTGGAGAAGGAGGGAAGAACTGATGGTTATCTCATTCTCTCTCACACCTTCCCCCCAACTCACAAAGCACCTAGGTTCACAGCCTTCAAAGCGACTTGAGATGGCAAGAAGTTGGCTTCAGAGTTTGTAACTCTGCCTCTGGGTGGAATTAAAGCACACAGTGGTGGAAATTGCAAGCCCTCTGGCCACAGTTCAGTCCAGTCCCTTCTGCTTAGGGAAGACCACCTCACCAGAGGTGGATTTAGGGCAGCGTAACTGGTTCCCCAAGGGTTAAACCACAGAGCCTAGGACTTGCCGATCAGAAGGTTGGTGGTTCGAATCCCCTCAGCCAGTAAAGCGAGATGAGCGCCACAACCTCAGAGTCGGCCATGACTGGACCTAATGATCAGGGGTCCCTTTACCTTTACCTTTAACTGGTTCCCCACACAGGGGCCAAGGTGACACCTTCCCATATCCTTCCCACTGGGCTTTGGGAAGGAGGTGGGAGGGCTCTGACAGGGTCCTAGAATCCTCCTCGTTCCTTCCCAAAGCCAGGTTAACATTTGCCCAGCTTAGGGAAGGAGGCAGAAGGATTCTAGGATCCTGCCAGAGCCTTGTGCCTCCTTCCCAAAGCCCAGCGCCTCCCTTACCTGGCTTTGGGAAGGCACAGCGAGGGTTGCCCTCCCTCAGATTTTGGCCTCACACAGAGCACTGTATTACCAAGGTCCACTGCTGACCTCACATCAAAATTGTACCTCATACTTGTCATATTAAACCATGGTTTGCCCAAACATGGCTTGGTGGTTACAGCTCAGCTACTACAGTGTCCTAATGACATCTAAATTGTTTCATAGATCTCATTACCACTAACAAACTGAGGGTCATCCTGAGGGGGAAATAATTTCTTTGCCTCACCACTGTTGTATCGACAAATGGTTTTCTTCTGTAATCAACTTTCTGTGCAGTCTGGGCCTATCTCCTAGATGCGTGTGTCATATTTTGGCTCAGCCCCTGGAGGCCTTCATGATGAATACACACACACACACACACACACACACACTTCGCTGCTGTGATAGCCCATATAAAATTAGATCTGGCCAAGCTTAATTTCCAAAAAGGAAAGAGCAAAAAATCATTGGCATTATTCATCTTGTGTCACCTGTTCTTTCCCTGGCTGCATCTATATGCTACATCTCTTGTTCCTCATAAAAACCAGGCATAAAATATTTGCTCATTTCCCACCCCAAGGTTCACAGTGTTCAGAAGAAGGATTTGGCCACAATCCAGAACACTGAGCCTTTACACGCACTTTCCCATTATCACCCACGATGCCTACGTACATACCTTAAGCTGAACTAGGGCCTCAATGAATTTCGATGCTTCTTGGATCGGATCTCTCATTACCAGCAGAGGAACCTTAGGGGTCAATAAGATTTATTTATGAGCTGTTTGCACCACCTTGCCAAGGAATGGTCAGGATGATGAATGAATAAAGTCACGAGAAAGAATCACGCAAAGCAGTTAAAAACAACAATCAATATAAACAATACAATAAAGGAATAGGAACAAGACTCACAGCTCACATACAAGTGCAACAGTTGGCTATTGGCCGTGTGCCTTGTGTATTCTGTCCTCCGCTCTCCTGCTCTGATCCACTCATTCAGTACCTTGTTTGGGCAAACAAAACCAGCCTGAGTCTAGTCTGGGGGCTAACTGCGGTTTGCACAAACCATAGCTTTGCCTGATTTGTAAATCATGGCAAAGCTTTTTCTTTTTCCTTAAACCGGGAAGGGAGAGGAGGAAGTGTACACATGCAAGAGCAAAGTCCATTCACAACAACCCAACCATAGTTTGACCTTTATCTATTTATTTGTTCCCTGCCCTTCGCCCTAAGGTCTCAGGGCAGGTTGCAACATTATATTAAAACATAACATTAAAAACAGTTTAAAAGAAATTGCAACCATAGGGATAAATTGGGTCCCAAAACTATACATCGCAAGTGTTAAAAGCCAAAGGTACATCTCGGTCATCCTCCATAAGTTGTGTAATGAAGGTACCAGATACACAATATGTCTCAACCAGCCAGCAGCAGCCAGTGATGTGCTACATAGCAATAGTGGATGTAATCAGTGTTTGGAGGCTGTAGTGGAGGGTAGGGCGCTATCATGAATGCAAGTGCCTAGTTCCTGGGCACATAATAGTTTCTAACTGCTGACATTAGAAGGGACAATTCTGCACTTAGAAAACATGCACTTACCTGCAAACGCAGCTTCCTGACACTGGAAGGCAAGGTTGGGAATTGCCTGCCCTGACCACCTTCACGGACCGCTGCTGAATTTGGCTCGTAGTCCTGGTAAAGAGTCTCCTAGTCAGCAGCACAGGATTAACCCAGACCTTTGGCAATTTGCCTAAAAGGAATGGCTTTTTAGATGAACTGCCATGCTACTGGCAAGCTTCCTGAGGAAGTTAGCTCCGCAAACAAGGTGCCACCAGTGAAAAGGCCCCACTCCAAATACCTACTAAAGAAACCTCCCTTGGATGAGGCACCAGGAAGAAGGTGTTTTTTTGAAAAAAAAATATTTGGGAAGTTTCATATGGAATAAGTCATTCCCTAATAAATATATTTGTCCTTGACTCTGCTTCCATTTCCTTGATTCTGCTTCCATTTCCTTCTCAAAATCTGGGGAGGAAGAAAAAGGTGAGAGAAGCTGCTATGGCCATGGCTTCCCTCCTCAAGGAGTCGTGCCAAGAAAAGAAATCTCTTCCTTATTCAACACCCAACTTTGCAATGCATCTCTCCATACACAACATGGAGCATTGTCTGAAGACATAGCTCAGTTGGTTAGAGCATGGTGCTGATAATGCCAGAGTTGGAGGTTCGATCCCCATATTGGACGGCTGCATATTTCTGCAATGCAGAGGGTTGGACTAAATGATCCACAGGGTCCCTTCCAACTCTACAGTTCTATGATTCTTTATAGGCTGAGGTCAGACCTATGGGACTGGTCTCTTAGAATGATCCCAAAGCAATTGTAACTGGGAAGAAACATATGGAGGACATGTGGCTTTTCGTTTCTCATTATTTTGATTGCTGCTGTCTCTAACCTGTGTGACTGAACAGTTTTTCAGTAAGGACTTTCCTGCCCCCCTCACAGTGCGTTACATAATAAATAAATGAAATAATCAACATGCCAGACCCTTTTCCAAGGAGTGCAATGCATTGAGACATCTTTACAGGCTAACTACCACGACAGCCCTTCAAATCGCTTATTGGAGCCTTTAGGCAGTTAGAACATTAACAAGGAAATACCATGATCCGCTGTCCAATTAAACTGATGGGTTCTAATTCAGATGATTATTATTTAGAATCTTCATTTTTGGATCTTGGGTTACTAATTAGGATGATACATGCTCAAGGTTCTCAGTTTGCCTCCCCCCCCCCCCATTAACTCACTCCCCCTTTCTCTTCCCATCTCATTTTCTCTGGGTAACAAGTATTGCAGAACAATAACTCCAATCCCTGAGTAAATTTCAGCCCCGTGATTATGAGGAGATTCTTCTCTCGTGCAGCAAGACCAGGAGATTTATGGTGGTCTGCCACGCAGATTATGGTGCAGCCTGACCGCTGAAAATTTAATCTGAGTCATAAACAAGTGCTGAGTGGAATCTGAGACAGACTTCTAAAAATGTATGCATTTTTAAAGAGGGCGCAACGTGGGAAATTAGAATGGTAAGATTTGGTTTTGTTCCCTGCGATGCATCGTTAAAGGCATTATATAAATCTACAGTGTGAGAGGACACATTCAGAATGCCATGTGCCGTTTGAGCCATCTCTTCTAAATAATAAAGAAGATATATTACAGGAGCTGGAGAAAGTGCACTGCAAACCAGTGAAATGATCGAGGGAAAGGCTGACGCCCCTTCCCTGCAACGAGGGGCTACATAATATGGAGGGAGGGGTATTAAGGTTAGAAACCCCTTAACAAAAGGCAGCGCTCAGAATTCTTTGAGGGCTTTGAATGGGCTTTAAACATGCAGTTCTCTGCCTCCAAAGCTGGTAGCTAACAGATTGAGGTTGAATTCTTACAAGACAGAAATACTGTTTTTGGGGGGGGGCAGGGGGAGGGCAGATGTGGAGGACTCCCTGGTCCTGAATGGGGTAACTGTTCCCCTGAAAGACCAGGTGTGCAGCCTGGGGGTCATTTTGGACTCACAGCTGTCCATGGAGGCGCAGGTCAATTCTGTGTCCAGGGCAGCTGTTTAGCAGCTCCATCTGGTACACAGGCTGAGACCCTACCTGCCCACAGACTATCTTGCCAGAGTGGTGCATGATCTGGTTATCTCCCGCTTAGACTACTGTAATGCGCTCTACGTGGGGCTACCTTTGAAGGTGACCCAGAAACTACAACTAATCCAGAATGCGACAGTTAGACTGGTGACTGGAAGTGGCCGTCGAGGCCACATGACACCAGTCCTGAAAGACCTACATTGGCTCCCAGTATGTTTCCAAACACAATTCAAAGTGTTGGTGCTGACCTTTAAAGCCATAAACTGCCTCAGTCCAGTATACCTGAAGGAACGTCTCCACCCCTATCATTCTGCCCGGACACTGAGGTCCAGCTCTGAGGGCCTTCTGGCGGTTCCCTCACTGCGAGAAGTGAAGCTACAGGGAACCAGGCAGAGGGCCTTCTCGGTAGTGGCACCCGCCCTGTGGAACGCCCTCCCACCAGTAGTCAAGGAAATAAGCAACTATCTGACTTTTAGAAGGCATCTGAAGGCAGCCCTGTTTAGGGAAATTTTTAATGTTTGATGTTTTATTGTATTTTTAATATTTTGTTGGAAGCCGCCCAGAGTGGCTGGGGAAACCCAGCCAAATGGGTGGGGTATAAATAATCATAACCATCTGAATACCAGTTGCTGGTAAATGCAGGAGGGGAAAGTGCTGTTGCAGACCGGTTCTGCTTTTCAGCTTCCCACAAACATCTGGTTGGCCACTGTGAGAACAGGATGCTGGACTAGATGGGCCATTGGCCTGATCCAGCAGGTTCTTTTTAGGTTCTTCTGAGTGTTGCTATGAACATATGAACATTTGTCTTCTCCCCAAAGGATTTTTTTCTCTTATATTAAAAAAAAAGTTCAGATATCCATTGATTTAAAAATAAAATCTCCAGCCCTTAGCATGTTGGCTGATGACTGAACACTTGTTGTTGTATTATAATTCTGTCAGCATTGGAGAAAGGCTCTGCTTCAGTGACTCCTCTAGCCAAGAGGAATTTGGTTTTAAAAGGAGAAGGGAAGAAGAAAACAAGCTTAGCTTTCCAATTGGTTCACAGCAGATTTAATAGGGCAAAGTTTAATCCTTCTTAGAAATTCAAGTTCTTCGTGTTGCATCCACAGCCTCATTATGGGGAGGATATCAGAGAGAAGGCTCTGCTTTCAATCCTGCTCTGCTCAAACGGTAGCATATTTCTGGTTCTACAAAATGCCATTTGGACTTCAGTAAGGAGTCATAGAATATGTAGCTGGAGAGACCAAAAATTCCTAGCAGGGCAGCACCAGCACTTGACATCACTGGGCAGCTTTCAGAGTCCCAGTGTCCTGACAGGGTCCACCACTGATGCCTGCCCTTTCCCCCCTGGTTTAATTGTATTTTTTGGCCGGACACTCAGAACTGTGCTAGGTGACTAGATTTGCCCAGCACCATAATTTCCCTAAAGCTGCAATTTGTGCAAACCATTGTTGGCCTCTGATCTGGACTAAGAAACCATGGTTTGCATAAACCAGGAACTGAGTGAGTGAATCAGAGCATGCGAGTGGAAGCAAGGCCATCTTACCCATAGGTGCTAGGGGTGTGGGGCACCTGGGGGCCAGGCTCTCAGGGGCGCTAGGCCAAGAGTCCAGGGCCTGAGAGTTGAGTCCGGGGAAGAGCCCGCCCGTTGGTCGGAGCACTGTGGCAGGCTCTTCTGCTGTGGCCGGCTCTGTACCATGTGTTCGGGGGCGACCGAGCCAGCGAGATGCTGAGTTGGCCGGCTGGCTTTGCCCTCCTGCGTGCCTGGGTCTGGGCAACCTGGGATGGGGGCGCCGGGCAGATCTTTGCACCCCGGCGCCGCATATGCTTAAGACAGCCCTGAGTAGAAGAATGAGTAGAGGAGCACAAAACATGCTGCCATCAGCCAAATCATGGGTGATATCAACATCTGAATTGTTGCACTGGGGCATTGTGGGAGAAGAAAATGGTGGCTAGACCCAACTGCCCAGCTCTTCTGTGAGCAATTCAGTCAACACTGCTGCCGTCACCACTAGGTAAAGTAGGACTCACTGACAGAGAAATGTAGCCCATCATGGTGCACTTTGTCCATTTCTGATTCCAAGAGTGGGCCACGGTATCTGCAGAGCCAGAGGACGCTGAGGACAGCACAATATTACTCGGAGAGTCGCAGGTTCTCCAGTCCAACTTTAACTGGAGATGGTAGAGAATGAACCTAGTTTCGATTCTTGCTGCTATGGTTGCATGTGCTCCTACTACGGATGAGGGAGAAATGTTGTGTTGTTTGCCTTTAAAGGAGAACTTTCCAAATTTGCCCTTTCTGAAGCAATGCGCGAACTGAAACACAAGCCATCCTTCCAAATCTGCGCTTCTCCAAATTCGCCAGCCAAGCAATGATGTGTATAGCAGGGGAAAGGTATGCATAAAAATGCATTTATTAGTGAAAATTGGGTGCAAAAAAAATGCGTCATATTAGGTAAAATTGCCTTGCAAACGTTGTGCTGGTCAAAAATTGCATATTAAGAAAAATTGGCACTAAAGTGCGGAAGACCTTTTTTATTTTCTTTTTAAATGCAACTAAAGACTGGAAAAAAATGAAGAAATGAGAACTATTGAAATAGACAGGTCTGCCCATCTCTAGATCTTGCTTAGCCACCGTTTCCCTGGGAATTGCTTATACAGTGGACGCTCGGGTTGCGAAAGTGATCCGTGCAGGAGGCACTTCGCAACCCGCAGCGTTCGCAACTTGCAGCGCCGCGTCTGCGCATCTGTGGGTCGCGATTCGGTGCTTCTGCACATGTGCAAAGTGTGATTTAGTGCTTCTGAGCATGTGCGAGCACCGAAACCCAGAAGTAACCCATTCCGGTACTTCCAGGTCTCGGCACATCCATAACCCAAAAATGCACAACCTGAAGCATCTGTAACCTGAGGTATGACTGAACTTTCTCTGTTTTTCTGTCTGCTGTGCCTTCCCTTCCTTTCTCACCCTTTTCCTGCCTCTGTCCTTGCCAAAGCCTCCAGTTTATTCGAAAACCTAAATCTTAGAAACAGAATAAATTATGCAATGTTACTTAGCATTTCCTGTGCACTCAGGTGGACAAAGAATCTATTTGGAAGAAGGCAACCCTAATGGATCTTGTTAACAGCCAGCCAGCATGACTTGAGAATACATAATTTATCCACTTTCTCATAAGTGGATTCCTCAGGATGCTCCACCCCCTGCCATGAAATGGAACAGAATACTGGCAAATCTGCCTTTAAATGTCCCATCAGAATGGATGTATTGTTGCTGCCTGCCACCAAAGCAAAGAGGAAGCAGCCAGAAAACCAGCAGCAATTCTGATTCTGCCTGCAAGCCTTTAGCATAAGTGGATGTCTGAGACAGAGAACTCAGCTACATAGCTGCAAACAAAACATTTTAAATGTGTTGTAAAGCGCAATATACAAATGTGACACTAGGTGGCAAAAGTGAGCTATGCCAAATTCAATGTATTTTAAAAAACTTTCTTTTAAAAAAAGCATTTTCACAGCGTTTTTTTATGTGTGTAATTTCCACCAGGGTTGAGTACATAGGGGGTCCCAAAATAGGTTACACTTGCTACATTCAAGGCACACACACAAGAGAGAGAG